GATCTCCTTCCGCTCTCATACCTTCACTCTTCCCTCTCCTTTATCTCTCTTCCCGTTCCTACAAGTATTCTCAGCCTTTCCTAACCTATGAGACCTTTCCATGAGCCTCCTTGAATTCAAATTATTCCTCTATGTCTCCACTTACTACTTAACCTATTTGTTTGCAATACATAATGTGAGTTAATTCACATGAAGGAATTTAGCCCTACTCCAGAGCTATACGAAAGGACATAAATGCAATTACAGGTATGAGGTCCGCACGTTTCTATGACAGTGCTTCAAGTGTTAGGAATAAAATGATGGCGTAACAGTAAATTTTCACTTCAGCAATTGGTTATACAAATACAAAGCAATTGCCTTCAAGTTCAAATTGATAACTCTTCCTGGATTTGCTCAGCTCTGCTTTCTTTTTTTTCTTTTTTTTTTTTTTTTTTTTTTTGAGAGGTTTTTCACTATAGGGCGCGTGTGCTCGCCGGACAGACAGAGAGAGACATAGAGACAGAAAAGGAGAAATCACAATCCCTTCCCCTCCATTCTCCTCTCGGGATCTTAGGCACGCACACACATGCACCCAGCGTGAGTTTTAAGCCACCAGGTCCGGGACGCGAACCACAGTCGACTACGTGGGAGTCCAGCGACATAGCCATTACGCTAACTGCTGGTTCCCAGCTCTGCTTTCTTAAGAATCCAGAGAAAAGCTGTTTTCCATGCTCCCCAAGGACCAAATCCCTCTTCCATGCTTACTCAGCATGAGGCACAATCTTCGCGTTTATAGTATGTGAAGGCCAAGCCTACTGCCACTTTGTAGTAACATTTCTCCACATCATGTTCTTATCATTTGTGATAAAAAGATATGTGATTTCTCTAAGATGTCACTCACCTTCAAAGTAAAAACACATACATTTTATGCCAATACAAACATGTGGATGACTGCTATTTTATTCTATAAGCTTACTGATATTTAAGCAAGAATTTTTTTTTCAAAATCACATAACCTGATTGTGAGTTTAGTACATTTTTGAATGTACTAAAAAGAAAAAAAAATTCAAAATTCTTAAGTTTTATAGTAAAACATAAAATTCTAGTGTATGACTTTTGTTTGCTAAATGAGAGACAAAGATGTTGATATGAGATACAAAATTTTAAATTTCTTATTGGAGTGTTCTATATTTATGTAGATTTGTTTATATTGATTTTATTTGCTTACATTATGAGGCAAACACATTACTAAGAATGCTACCAATGAGGAATGCTTTATCAGTGAAATTACTGTGCAATACCTGTTCATTTAAGATAATATTAAATCCAGAATATTTCATTTATCTAAGCAAATACAGAGTTTTCCTTTGGTTCATCAACTACCAAATAAATATTATCCACTCTAAGAGAACATCTAAGAATACAAAAGAGCAAACTAATGATCTCTGTGTACACAGATTGGATCCATTTTTCTCTTCTCCCTGACTGACCTCCAGGGGGCAGTACAGTGCCAATGATGGGCTTTTGCTTCTGATGACCCTATTTGGAGTGCTTGTTCTGTCCACTTCAGTTCCATAAACTAGGACAACTTATTAGCCTGAGCCTCAGTTTCTCACACATAAAATGGAGAAAAGAATAGAACCTACTTCACAAGATTGTTATAAGGATCAAATGAAAAGTGGCCAGTATATAACCAACGTGCCATCAATACTTAGTGCTATTTCATTTACTAGCATCATATTGGCTTTCCTGCAATATCATCACTAAATATAATTTACTGAACTCAAATACTTTAAGCACCTAAAGCATGTAAAGCACTGTAGGTGATAATGCTAAAAAAAATTTTTTTAAATAAGAAATAAACCACAAGCTCTCTTCTTCATAAATTTACAGTCAGAAGGTGAAAAAGACATGTAAATTATAAGTAGAACAATACAGAATAACTGATTTATCAAATGGAAGGACGGTCAATTCAACCTCCAACAGGATAAGAAAGAGAATAGACTCCTTATTATTGCTGGAGGATGAGAAGAGGGATAAAATTGACCTTGGAAACGAAAACGCCCACCTCCTAATCTCCTCCCCTTCCACACACCCTCAGGCACCATTCCTAGTGGTTTGGACACAGGCATGTGACTTGGACTGAGCCAATTAGGTGCTCTGGACTAGACCCTCAGTTCTTGAGAGAGAGAGAGGCCAAGTTGCTGAAAGAGTCAGAGAATATTCTTGGCCCCAACAACAGAGGCCAGAGGCCCAGTGGCCAGTGGCATGCTGGAGAGGAGCCAGAAGCAGCTCTGTCAATGGCAGCAAAAACAGTGCCTGATTCTAAACGGGCTGCTCCACTGCAGTGATCTCAGCTGTGTCCTCAGCTGTTCATCTTCTCCTGGTTCCCAGTCTCTTTCTGAATCTGATCTCTAGTCCTCTGGCCATTTCTAAGAAACCTAATACTTACCAACAAATTAGTTTTCTGTCTGTGTTGGACAGAGATTTTGTTATTTGCAACTGAGAACCCTGACTGGTACCTTGAGTCATCAAGTAAAACTTTCCCCTTTAATTTGGACAGTGCCAAAATGAACCTCAAAGTAGTACTTTCTTTTGTGTTAACTGAGATATTCTTCTGTTGCCTACTTCAGATTAAATAGACTTCTTGATCATGACACTTTATCTTAGCAAAATACGTGTCAAGGGAAGTAGTATCTAAATTTTCATTTAGCAAAAAGAATCATTTGAATCTACTTGCCACATACACGAAATCATTCATGATTCATCCCGTTCATACAAGACTCTGTTACTCTTTCCATTATATCATTGGTAAGAAAGAAGAAAGAAAAATGTCCTGTGAAGGATAATGCTAGAAAATAGAGAAATAATTATTTTTCTATCTGTTGCTTTCCTGTAGGAATCAACCATCTACCCCTATCTTTGTTTTCTTACAACATTAAATTGATAAATTGGATTTTTATAAGAAGTTAATTCTCAGCAGTTAAGTATCTGAAGTGGAAATTTCAGACACAGGCCTATCCTAGTGTATGGATCCCGGTTATTGTAGGAGAATAAATAGGTTAAAAAAAAAAAAAAAGAAAAAGAAAAAAAAAAAGAAAAGAAAAAAGAAAGAAAAGGAAAAAAAAGATTGCTTTGAAAATGCCCACCCCTTTAAGAGTCTCTCAAATGCCACTAGATAGGGAAAGGACACTGAGAATCACTTACAGGAACACAGCAGAGAAAGATGCTGGTACCCTGAGCTATTGAAAAAGAAAAGATTAGCATTCCTTCATCATTGCCGCTGTAGGCAACATCCCCCAGTGAGAACATTTAATAAGAACTTTCACCTTCATATCCCCAAATTTCTTCCTCTCCCCCTTATCACACCCCAGCTGTCTCCAGATCTTATTTTGTATCCACTCTAGCTATGAGGTCAGAGTTAAGCCTTCAGGAATGTGTCTCTCTATAGGCAGAAACCTGACTCCATCTGGAAAGAAAAAAAAAAAAAAAACTCTTAGCAGACCTTGGGAAAACTGCAGTTGCTATCACATGTACAGAGAGAGCTTTAGCAGCCATTGGACTTTAAATGTTCTGTTTGTTGGACTGCCAAAAGGTTACTGCTCCCTGGAGAACTGAGCCAGTTCCTCTAAACCCCTCCCACTGACTCATATGTTTGTCTGGCTGCAGCTGCTAAAAAAGATGGGAATTTAAAAGCTGCTACACAAGTGCAAAAGCAATAACCAAACAGTGGCAATACCCTCAGGTCTCGAAGAGAAAGTATTCTTACAGAGCAACGCGTAAGGTGGGGAGAGGAATATTAGAGACACAATACTGGAATATAGAATGACTAGAGAGGAAGGAAGTCATCGGTTCTCAGTGCTGCAAACTAGTTTGTTCGGTGACCTTGCTAAAGGCTGTCTCATGGATTTATCCTCACCACCCCCACAGTTACATCTTCTTTAACCTAGATTTACATGGAAGTTGGTATTGATAACCTGTCTACTATCAATGCTATAATCGCATTTTTCAGCAATGTTTAGAGCATTTATAAATGTCATTATTATCATTTCCTTATTCCCTTCTAACAATAACCCAGCAACTATTTCCCAGGCAAAGTAAAAATTTCTTATCTCTGGGGTCCTAGCACACTAATCGTATGTTGCATTTAGCAGTGCCCAGGAAAAAGGGGTAAGCCCGTACCTTTGTCCTCGGGGACTCTGACTCCATCTTGCACTCACTTCTCCCCACCCCTTCAGACCTCTTAAGCTTTCTCTTCAAACGGGAAAGTGAGGGAAAGTGATCTAACATCCATCGATCCAAGGTATGAGAGAGAGAGTACTGCCATTCTCAGCAATTACTCCACCTGTGAAAAAAGGACAAAGCAAAATGTTGATGTTCACCACACAAAAATTACTAATAATAGGAATTTTTATCTAAAAACTTGATACGTAATTGGAGATGGGAAGCCTGTTCTTAATAAAAGCCAAGTCTTACTGCTCAGACATATTGAAGGTACAGTTCTCTAAACTCCTGAAATCTTTTCCACCGATGCCTGTTCTTTTATGATTCCTGAATGACTCCTCTGATCCAAAAACAGTGGTAATACTGTTCAAGAAGCCCATTTAACCCATGGTAAAGCCCACGCCCAGAGGTCAGAAATGCCATCTTCAGTGTCTGTTAGAGAATGCTCTGCCTCACCAGAATCTGTGTCTCTTCTGTAGCCTTTCTTCATCCGTTATAAAAATAGGGTGTCCTTTCTTAAGGTTTATTCATCTTAAGAACACTTTAAAAAGTTTGCTAATTGTATCTCTCTTCTTGTGTTTGTAATCCTGTCACTATCTAACTTTTGTGTGGATGTTTTATGTGGATGTTTCTGCTAATAGTACATAGTCCGTGGACAACTTCATTTAATTTGTTTTTAGATCTCACTTAGGTGGGTCTTGTCAAAAGCTCCATGAATTCACATTCTGCCAGTTTCTCAGTATATTTCCACAAAGATTTGAAACTATTTATAAACGATTTCGCTTCCTGGAAAGTTTCTGCTACTCCAAGGAAACTTCTAAAGTTTTAGAACATCACATTGAAACTAGCTGCATTGGCACTGATCCTAGTTCTTGGATTCTGGGGGAACATGTTCCCAAAACTTATGTTTAAACAATCTCAGTTGAATTGCTTATTTTATTTAGTAAAACTGAGCCAGCAAAACTGTAAACTGTTAGAAATATGCCTGCAATTTGTTTTTACTTTTATTTTGTTTCATTGCCAAGGGGTCACGTACACTCGCCAGAGAGGAAGAGACAGAGAGAAAGAGAAAGCACCTCTCACTGGGGCATGGTCACACTGCAATTTCCTCTCCTCCATTCCTCCATCCTGTCAGGACCGGGGCACAAACACATACTCGGCATGTTTTTCATGCCACTGGTTACTGGGATTTGTACTGCAGTAGGTTATGTGGGATCAAACTCCCTTAACCACTAAGTTATAGGCCAACTTTGTACAGTTCAGTAATTATCGTCCCCAGAACTCCTGATACCTACCACTACTGTCATGCACACAGTGGGTACACAGCAAGATTTTGGTAATTAGTACCAAACTAGGTCGTTCAATATCTAAGACTGTGTTTTTGGCAGCCAACATTTTTGTTTATATAAACAGATGACAACGGAGATGTTAAAAGAGCTTGGCCTATGAAACACAAACCGATACTTGTCTCCTAGCTAAGAAATATGTACATGCAGAATTAGTGAGGAATTATACTACTCACTTTCTAGAACACAAGATAATGACACCCTGACTTGTTCTTGAATAGTTATATATCTCAAGGAGCTAGATACCCTTGCTCTTTAAATCTCCAGCAAAAATGTAGAACAAACCTTTATATTTCACACGTTTGGATTTTCTTTGTATAGAGGTTATTTGCTATAGGCTATATGCACTTGCCAGAGATACAGAGAGAAACAGAGAGACAAAGCGAGAAATTTCCCCTCGCCCCCAGATGGGATGGTTTCTCATCTGACCATTCCTCAAACAGACCACCCCATGACTGGACAGTTGGTCAGACTGTTCTTGTCAGCGACCTCTTTCAGTTTCAACATGGCCGCAGTCCTGCTAAACCTCAAACTGGCTTGCTTCACTGTCATCAATTTTGCCAAGTAGTCTTTCTCAGTTTACAGTCATGGAATACACTAATTAGAAGGAACCACAAAAATAGGGTAACCAACCTTTCAGTTTTCCCAGGATTCCAAGGGATCCTAGGACGGGGACTTCCAGTTTTAAAACCAGGACTCAAAGACTTCTTGAATATAGAGTTTTCAGTGCTGAAACTGAAAAAGTATCAGATAAACAGAGACAAGTTGGCCACCTTATATATCATCTGGTCTAACCCCATCCTCTCAGGTAAGGAAACCAAGGCTCATAGAAAACTCATACAGGTCAAGCAGTTAGTGACCCAGGCTACTTCTACACTTGTTAAGATTTTGTAAAGACTCCTTCAGACTCCAGTTACAGTGTAATTTTCCAGATTTGATCATTAGTTTAATTTTCATCATCTCTCCTGCCCATTGAGATTTGAATGCAGGGACCAAATCCATATTTTCTTTGTATTTTAAGCCTCTAATCTAGTTCCTAAGCTAGATTATATGACTCAATATATTTTTTTGATAACTACCATTAAAGGGCTACATTGAAATGCTTGAGGGACTGAGGTGTTTATTCGAGTTGCATTGGATCAGAAGAACAATAGCCAATTAACGTTGGAAAGCTGGGAGCTGCCCCTGGCAACACTTTTACTGATTTTCCCTGTCTTTCCAATATTTTAGATAATGATGTGTTACTTTATAACAAAAAAATAAAAGGTATATTTAAAAGAGTGATTATCAGGGCCAACAGATGGCATAGTGGTTAAGGTGTTGTACTCCCACACAGTCAAAGGTGGGTGGACTTCCGGACCCAGCAGCTTGAAACTTACACCGTGCACATTTACATGCATGCCTGTCCATGCCCAAAATCCTGAGAGGAGAATACAGGAGAAGGGATTGTGGTTTGACCATCCCCCCCGCCACCCCAGGAGGGGTTTTCTCACACTCTCTCTGTGTCTCTCTCCGTGTCTCCAGTGAGTGCATGTGCTCTATAGCAAAAATCACTCTAAAATATTTATATAGATACTGAGTAATTATCTTTATATATATATATATATATAGAGAGAGAGAGAGAGAAATTATCAGTGTCTTGTGTTCCCCTGATTTTCCAAGAGAATGGTGATACAGAGGTGAAGATCATGCCATAAGATAAATTACTATTTCAGTTGCCCTGGTTGCCAGAATTTCTGCCAAGAGAATACCTATTCTCCTTCTTCCTTGTCCTTCCTCCTCTGTCATCCCCACAAATTATATGTGGGGGAGGTAGAGTAGTCCAGTAAATAGATTTTAAGCTTTGTTTTCTTATTCTTCAATTCCTGCTCATATTAAAACATGAACAGGCAGTGGAACGTGCATAAAATTGATGTGGCATTTGAGATACAGGAGTTCAAAGAAGGAAGTTTTTCTCCAGCTGTGCCACATCGCTTCATTTGCCAAAACACTCACGGTTCGACTTGTGCTGCTGAGTTACATCCCTGCGTCTTTAAAAAAGATGAGAACTATGTGCCAGAACTCATTAAGAAATTACCCAGATACTCTGGTTCCCAAGCAGCTTTCTGACACCAAGTAACTTCCTTTGATCAGTAGTAACGGTATGATACATTCATATAAATTCTTACATGGGAGTCTCTGCCAAGAAATTCCTACAGAGATGAAAATGCCAGAATTTTGAAGCTGACCCACAACTGCCTCTTTATTCCATAGTCCACTGTAATTCAATGAGTTCAATTCATTTCTATTTAATTTTGCAAGTGTTTCTATACCCACTTGAAAACATCCTCTCTCATTTCTCCCTTCGCTTTGAAACTCAGAGTATTATTGTCCTATAACTTGACACTATACTCTAGAATTATTTTATTAGTCACAAGTAGATGACCAGAAATTCAAAGGCTGCACTTGTCACTTGATGGTGCATGACCACACACAAATGATGCTGACGATTCAGCTTCTTCACTCTCCTCCTTTCTTCATTTCTATATGTTAAAATAATGCATGTAAATTGGAAAAGATAAGTGCCCATCACCCGAGGACAGTATGAACTGGCAGTCTGATAGGTAGGAAGGATAACTCTACTCTCTCTCTCTCTCCAAGAGAGACTATGAGAGGCCAGCAGGTGGCACAGTGGTTAAGGCAGCTGGATACCATACAGCTGACTGAGTAACCCAAGCCAGTGGCTTGAAAACACGCTGGCAAGTGTGCATGCATGCCCAAAATTCCAAGAGGAGAATGGGGGAGAAGAGATTGCATCCCCCATGCATGGTGATTTCTCACTTTCCCTCTCTGTCTCTCCCTTTCTCTGTCTCTCTCTCTAGTGAGTACACACACCCTACAGTGAAACTAAAAGTAAAAAAGAAAAGAGAGCAAGAGAGACTACGAGTTTATATGTACCATATGGGGGTTTCCAAAAACTTGTAGAAAATGATATTAAAGAGCTAGTTTATTTTGGTGCAAAAAAATGGAAATCCATGCAGTTTTGCATAATACACATTTTGTATGAACTTTTGAAAGACTCTTTATATTTTGTTTATGTTGATAAAAGATATTTGTAGCATCAGTTTTAGGGCCACTTTCTTCTGCTCTAGCATCTACTTTTTTTAGAGTTGCCAAGCAGAACAAACCCCCAAACCACAGCACCTCCCTGATGAGCTCAATACCATATATAATCCCCACAACAGCATTCAACATGCTGGGCACTTAGTACCGTGGAACCCAGATCAGCATACTTGGAGAGAGTGGCCAGATTGCTCAGGCTCATTTCCATCTCCAGGACACTCCGAAATGCATTCAGACTCAGCCACCTGCACACCATGGAGAACCATTGTTCTAGCATTCACAGCCTTCCACCAGCACTGGGACCAGCTGCCACAGACAGGATCCCACTAATGAACCTGCCACTTGAGGTAAGAGATGTCAAACATGTACAGCCTATGACCCAACATGTTCACTTACGGGAATGTATCCTACCGATACTTGCCCAAGAAGACAAACCATGTGAATAACAATGTGAAATTTTACCCTTCCTTGTAATAAGGAAAAAAAGCAAAAACAAATGACATAATAAACTGATTAATCATGGTATTGAAGCATTGGAATGCTATTCAGTTGTTAAAACGGAATCGTGAACCTTTATTTGCTGACATAATAAGGAGAAAACTAACTCAGTTCCTTGCTGGTTCTGACTCTCGAA